TTGGCTGGTATGCCTTCAAGAGATACTCTTGAATTTAAAATTTAAGTTGCTTTAAGAGACAACAGTTGGCCAAATTCCATTCTTTGTTCTGAAAACCAGAAATCAAGCAGATCTGCCACTCTTTCACTTCCTGTCACTTCTTTCAACTTTGATCAGTACTTCATTCACATAACTTTTTTTTTCCTGTCAATGTTTCTATTCTTGCTTCCTTTTCACTTCCTGTAATTTTATCATACATGTTTTCAGCCAACTGATGTCCTTAGGAAACAAGGAAGAAAAAAAAAAATTATTTTATGACTTGTAATGGTAAGCAGACAGGCAGGCAAAATCATATTTGGGTAGCTAATAAATCCTTTGAAAGTGTGATAAAATTCAAATATTTGGGAATAACAATAACAAATCAAAATGATATTCATGAGGAAATTAGGAGGAGACTAAATTATGGAAATGCTTGCTACTTTTTGGTTCAAAATATTCTGTCTCCCCAACTGGTTTCTAAGAACCTAAAGATTAAAATATACAAAACAATAACTCTGCCTGTTTTGTATGAGTGTGAAACATGGTCTCTCACTCAGAGGGTGGAACATAGATTGCAAGTGTCTGAGAACAGGGTGTTGAGGAGGATATGTGGGCCTAGGCAACAAAAGAAATGAAGAGATAACGAGAGAAGCACAAATTTCCCTAACATTAAATTACATACAAGACTGTATATGGAACAGGAAAGAGTACTGACATAATCCCTTAAAGAAATTATGAAATACAAACACAATGAAGACTTAGAAAACACAGAATTACCAATATTCTGTTCTCTAATACTCATAGCTCACCAACTACACCACATACTTCAAAATATAATGAAAATACTCTTACATATTACCAAAAGAATGTGGTATGTGCCAACCACATATTAATACTGTAATTCCAATAACATGAGAAGTAAAACTCTCAGATCTGTAAAAACAGATTTTAAAAAACACATTTGCTTTGCTAATACTCAAGGTACAAAAACAGAAAAAGGTTCTCACCATCAAATCCTGCTAAATATGCAACAGCAGCTATTAGTTGCTTTCCAAATGGTGGGTGAGAATCAAAGAAAAATGTCCTTTTCATATAGAGACTCACGTACTTTCCATAATGAAGCTCATCAAAACTGCAACAGAGTAACCAGAGATAATGTAGAAACTATTCTCAGCATTAATTTAAAAATAACATTCTGAAAACGTGTACAACTGTTTCCTATTCACATTTGTTATATATGGACAGGTATGTACACCACTACAGAAGGTTTCATGCTTAATAAGGGTTTCATTTCAGACAAGTGTATATTTTAGGAATGTTATGACCTTGCTGTGGATATGTAGTAGCACACTGTCATGCTGAAAAAGTCCAGTTTCGCTTCTAGCAGTTGAGACATTAACTAAATCTCAAACATGTTGAGATATACATTTCTAATTGCTTTTACAGCAAACAAGAAGGGGCCATACTTGAATATTATGCCTGATCGCCACCTTCCTGAGATAAAATGTTGCTTTGACATTAAAATTAATTTTGGACAGACAAGTTTCATCTGCGCTATATCACAGAAAAATTCAAAATATAGGACTTTGTCATTTGGCATAATGTTAAGTAACAGTCGTAACCGTGGTTGTAATTTAAAATCATTCATTATGTTGTGACTGGGGCAAAGGGGGTGGAAATTGTGTATGTTGGATAGTAGTTAACTATTTTACTGACTGAGCTTTTGGTAATGGCTGCTACCACCAAATCATACTGTAGTAGAACTACTATAGCCATAGACAGCAGCATGTCATTACACACCACCTACATTTCCAACTTACAGCATTGAGTAAACATCTGTATGTTGGCATAATCTGTCTCTGCAATTGACCAGAATAGTATCCATGATGACCTCCTGTTTCAAACTAAAATTATCAGATGGCATGTGAATTACTGAAAATTAAGTCCATAAAGTGAGATGAATTAATTATACAAAATGCAAAATGTATATAATGCCATCAGCCACAATAAATGCAGCACTACTTGCATCAAAAGGAAGACTATCATATTATCTGTTCAGCAATAATGGAATGGCAAAAACCATGAATTCTCAATGCTTCTGAAAACTACACCATGACCACTCACCAAGTTGAACATGGTCCCCCTTTACAGCTAAATCTCATCTAAATAATATTTAGGAATTCAATTCTTGTTCCAAAGAAAACACAATGTTTCCCCATTACAAAGCTTGATGGTTAGTGTGGTTTAAAGAAATAACCACAGTTTTCATTCTGAGAATAATGCAAACAACATAAATATATAAGACTTCAGGTTCTCACAGCGGTGAGTAGTCTGTGGACAAACTACAGAATGATTTCATAATAAAGCAGGTTATCTCCATACCAAACAGTACCCGGCAAAATAAATAACTTACACTATACTACGAGGCTCCTCTAATCTATACATGCGAGTTGCAAGTCCTCCCAGAAAAAGCATTAGTGCCATTACATCCAAATCTATGTTGACATGAAATCTTCGTGTAGCAGAAATACAGGTCGTATTACTGCTAGTGGAGTATGATTCTTCAACACCCATTTCTGGAACAGATTCTCCATCACCCTGACAAAAAATAATAGAATCTAATTAAAAAGTCACAGAAAGTATAAAAATGGCAACAGTTCCATTTTCAATATGAACTCAACTGTCATTTGATTTATAGCCTGAATATTAATAGGAGACACACACACACACATATAACCAACCAAAATCCTTTGCACAAAGGACAAGTTGCCTGACGGGATAACCTATCATCAGCAGCAACAGACCCTATTTTAAACATTACAAACTCCTGCCACAACAAAACCCCATTACTTCAAGCAAATTCCCATTTTAGGTACAAGGCTCTGTTTAGCATTTCCAGCAATGCGTTTCATACGCAGGAATGGTGTCGGGTGCTTGCACAGAACTCCGCTCTTAGTTGGCTGTTTGGTTGGTTACACATATACACATCCCATAAACCAATTTTAAGCAAGGTATAGTATGTCAAGGGACAATACGCCACATTCAGAAAATACACACAAATACAACACCCATGCAGAACATTCCCCAAAGAACAAAATGTACCACCACAAAGTAAATAATACACAATTACATTACTAATGACTGCCTATCAGTTTTATACTGTTTATAGATGGCTACAATTCATGCTTTCAAAAATTATGTTACTAAAATATTATTACATGCAACCTTTATAATGAGACTTGTGTTTACAGTCAAATATATGTACCAAATTTGCAGACACATAATTACAGACAGTTAACCATTTCTTAGTAACATAAATTCAAGAAATTCATGCACAGAATAAGAAGTGAGTCAAAATTAAATATTACAATGTTACTTTAAATTGTTTACTGCTAGCAGAAAAACGTTTAATTTTGGTAGGAACACTGTTACACGGTTTATTCTGGCACAGTAGCCTTCTATTTGACAGACTATAAGATTATAAGTTATTGCTTGTGTTAATAGTATTTGTAATAAATTGTTTGAATAATAATAAAATGCTTAATTGCTATCAAAAGATCTCAAAGATGTTAATTAAGTGCAGTCAATCACTATAACCATTCTCAACTTTAAAATTAGTGGAAGTAAATAATGATGAACATCTGCACTTTCCCAACAAAGCATTCCGCAAGCACAGTATTACGGAGGAGTTATATTTTAAAATGAACTTACAGCACATAATGGCTACAATAACAAATTCAAATACACTGTAAAAATGACTTTTCACCTCATCTCTCTGCAATGTTGGCGATTCATCTGCATGTGCTGTTTCTGATTTTGACTTCAAACACTCCGCTTCTTTTCCAAGAAATCCGCCTATATCCAAACACGATTTACTTTCAAATATAGTAAAGTTCGATTTTCCTTTCGCATATTTCTTCGACGACTTTACTGTGCTTTGTATTTTCTTGTTACGCTTTTCTAGTTCCATTATAAGAAAGTTAAATGTGTGTACAGATTTCCTTAAAATTTCAGACGTTTACAGGCCAGGTGCCATTCCACTTCATACGTCAAATGGGTCATTGGCTTGAATGTAACGGTACTTCAGTATGTAAATTATCTTGCCACCGGGCACTTCATACTTTAATACAGTGGCACTAACTATGTATCATATTTGGTTATATGAAATATTCTTACAGTATTCAAGCGTAATATGAAATTAACCTATAGCTCTTTATTTCAGTAACCTCAAAAATTCCACTCAACAGTTTCTAGCGCAGATAATACCACAGATAATACACGTGGATAATACCAACAGTTGCAGTATACAACGGCTTTCGAGTTGGTATAATCTATGGGAAGGAACATTGCATTAACCATACATTACCTATACGAATTACACTGGAACTACAGAAAATACCAACAAAGTTTGAAATTGATCTATGGCTGGAATCACTGGTAATACCAACCATCCGAGGTATGTTCGAACACTGTTCGTGACGTCACTGTATGCAAGCGAGAATCTTTGTCGTAAACATGTCATGTGGTGGTGAGGGTGTTAACTGCCCTGTTTGTTTCAAGAAATATCCTGTTACGGAAATAGAAAATCACGCAAATAAGTGCATATTTCTCAGTTCTGGGGGAAGTGATTCGGTATCTTCAAAAAGAATTGGGGATCTTAAACAGATGAATCCAACTGCGAAAAGGCAGAAGAGTGATGGTTATGTTGACGAAGACCATGTTTGTAAAGTATGTGACGAACAACCTGTAACCTATACCAAGATATGTAAACATTAGATAACTGGACTGAAATGCATGGGGTTGTAGAATCGAATCTCAGTCGTCAGAACGGATTTTTCTTTTCATTTACCATATTATGTTACGTGAAACAAAGAATTACTGCACCAAAGTCTTGTATTTTCCGGAATCTTTTTACCACACATTATTGTATGCCTGCCCCCCCCCCCCCCCCTTCACAAATTTGTTTTCCCGCCATGTTGGTGCTCCTGATTGCAGGAAATCGAAAAGTACGATTTTAGGGTTGTTCCCATTGGCACAACGTACGTATGTACCAAATTTCGTTCAAATCCATCCAGCAGTTCTTGATTTGATTATGCGGACAAACAGATATGACCAGTCCGCTGCATTCATTTCATGCACATTGTGCAACGAACGCAAAATAATTAAGTTGTGAAGCCAGGCAGTGACAGTGTTTACATGACACCAAGCGACTGTTTGGAATTAGTTCAAGCATTCATTGTTGAGATTTGGATGTTCTCACAGCAGTGATGTAGATATGGACCTGTAAGTTGTAACATCATGTGACCATCTTACCTCCATATTCATGGTGACAGGAGCAGTACATTCCTCCAAAACATTGGCATCTACCAACAAAACCATGGTATAACAACCCAGAAGACCAACATTAACTTATTAATTGTTAATTTATGATTTAATGTTTAAGATTTGTATTTTTTGTAAATCTAGTCACACTTCCCTTTGAAAGGAGCCAGGATAGCTCAGTCAGTATAGTGACTAGCTATGGGCTGAATGACTGGTGTTTGATCCCCAACAGGGGCAGAGTATTTTTCCTCTAGCCTCTGCATCCAGACTGGCTCTGAGGCCCACCCAGCCCCCTATCCAATGGGTACCGGTGTCCTTTTCCAGGGGTAAAGCATGGCTGGGGCATCATGCGCTGACCACTCACCCCAGTCTAGTGCCAAGGTCAAGAAAGCGTTGGAGTTATACCTCCACTCCCCCCCCCCGCCCCCAAAAAACCTACATGGCGTATAACAGGATGGCTTTACTTTACTTTTACTTCCCTTTGAGCAAATTGTCAATCATGGGTCTTACAGGGAAAGACTGATTTTGACAGGATATGTAGTTTTTTGTAAATCAATGATAATGAAACACTGATTTTTACAGGAAATGAAAGGTTCAGGTGCTTACAATTTCCAACACAACTTCACAAGCCGTGTTCCATTGGCAGAACAGATGCGCCCCTCAGATTTTACACATTTCTTTGGACAAGAACATGTCCTTGGTCAGGACAAGGTCTTACGGACACTGTTAGAGAAGAGGGATATACCTAGCATGATTCTGTGGGGACCACCAGGATGTGGGAAGGTATTTTTACATCTAGTACAAGACACATTCTACTGGATAATTAGAAAAGTTATTTAAGGCTGGAGTGTGAGCTGTATAATTTAATTTATAATGCTTTTGGCTCCTCTGTGGTAACTGTTAGTTCTCTTTCTTATGTATGTCTTCAGTTCATGGATCACAGTTGTACAATATATTTATTTCATCATTTATTACCATTTTATTTCTTTTGATAGATTGTGATTTGGTTCTGGTTTGGTAGGTAGACTTTAAAATAGTTTTTTTAACTTGTTCAAAATATTCACTGCTTATCATTTTAAAATCATGGGATAATACCTTATAAACTTCCAGAGGTAGTGATATGTGAAGTTCTTGCCTTTAGGTTTTTGTGGCTGGAGTTTGATTTATGACTTTGGCTTTCAGGAATAAGCCATGTAGAATTTTGAAGGTTTCATAATGTTTTGACAAATGTTGCTGTTGCCAAATTTAGATTGAATACATTTGAAAGGGGGGATTTGCAAGCCCTTATATAGATGGACAGTAAGCTGTGAGTGGGTGAGTAAGTAAGTTATTGGATGAATATCAGAATGGGGTGCTACTGAATAAGGAGTGACCACATGGTAGAATGGAGTGATTCAACAGGTGATTAGGAGAAGAGGTGATGAGGAAAGTGTTAGTGGCCTGTGAATAGGAAAAAAGTTTATTAAAAAGGATTTAGTGATCACATGGTTAGTAAAAGAGATGATGGAATTTTTTTTGTAACAATATGATTAAGAGAAGAGGTCTGAAAATGTTTTGGTGATCAAGTGGTTAAGAAACCAGTGATGAGGGAATTACAGCAGCCATGTGGTTAAGAAAGGAAGTGATGGAAAAAAATTAGTGCCTATGGTTAGGAGCAGAGGTTATGCCCCTCCCCCCATGAGGATTGGTAAGTAATTAGGTGATGGCAGGAAGAAATGAAAGAGGCATGGAGTTCACAGTGAAGTAGGTGAAGTAGAAGAGGCAATGAAAAAGTTTTAGTGATGATGTAGTTTAGGAAAGAGATGTAGGAAAACATTCAGTGATTATGTGGTTGGAAAGTGAGGTACAGAAATGTGTTCTGGTAACCTTTAGGGAAGGGGGTGTGAAAACGTTTTTAGTACCAAATATGCTGACACTGACCAAAGCGTGCAGATGATAATGCATCCCAACTTAGGGCCAAATTTAAGAATGCAAGATGTTTACTTCCACTGCCCATACATTTTCATAGTGTCACATTTAAGCATAGGCACAACATAAAATAATTTCAGCTGTCAGCCATATCATGCTCTCCATAATTGTTCTGTGCAGAGATCATTTCCAGTAATAGTTTGGGTAATTATACGGGATTGTCTTTGAAATCGGGTGACTTACTGTTAATTTTCTTTCAGACAACGCTTGCTCACATCATAGCATACCAATGCAAGAGAGATAATCAGGAAGCAAGGTTTGTCACAATGTCTGCTACCATGTCAGGTGTTAATGATGTCAAAGATGTAGTGAAAATTGCAAAAAATGAGCTCGCATCTTTCAAGAGGCGAACTATTCTTTTTATGGATGAAATTCATCGCTTCAATAAATTACAACAGGTATGAATAGCTATTTTGACCATCATTTTCCCTGGTCAGTTTCTAGTACAGGTAGCCCTCGATTTACGCCGGGGATGCGTTCCTAGACGAACCAGCGTAAATGGAATCGACGTAAATTGAAACTCTTTTATAATGTGAATCAATGGTAAGTCAATGACATGCGTTCCCAGCACCCAAACATTGACTAGTAATATAATGGCATTACATTTAAAGCTCTGAAATAATGTACAAAAAATAAAGGAAATTTAAAAAATTATTTTATACGCTTACAATCGGCAATTCGTTGGTCCCCGTGATTGACTGCGATTCTTTCATGTGATTGATGTGTACAGTCATCTCTGCTGTTATGCGATAGTTGCATTCATGTAAGACGCCGACCTATAGAAAATCGTGTAGTAAAAATAACCCCGGTACCTCCGCAGAGATTAAATTAGCCCTTTGAAAGTTTAAAGCGCCAGGAATGAAATTGCATAAGAGCAAACTCGCATATGCAAAAATTTGCATTTCACAAACAGCTTTTACTGATTCATCGATCTCAGTGGAGCAAATTCGCGTTAATGAAACGTAAGTAATTGCAGAGATGACCGTATTTATAATTTTTATTCAAAATCAGTGATGTAAGAATTACAATTTAGTATAATAATCAGTGCGAGATACATTGTAAAACGTTATAAATAATAGTAAAATATATTTTTTCACTTTTTGACTTGCTGGTTTCACATTCGGCGAAAATTGAACCGGTGCAAATCGAGGGCTACCGGTATATTACTTTTACTTTAACTGCTGTGTGGGACAAAGATTCACCACATATTAGATGTAACTGCTATATTTCAAAGGCTAAGATGAGTTATTTCAGTCTATATAACATGTTCCTTACAAGTCTTCTGGGCAGAAGTATGTTGTGCAGTAGAAAAGTCATAACCTTGATTTCAGACTTACTAAAGTAGTGTCACGATTTTGTAATCCCTTGCCTCACCCACTTGTGATCTGGTAAGCGTGGGTGTAAAATTATAGCATTGTTGCCAGCTCTTCAGTTGAACTCCGAATGTCAAAGAGTGCAGTTGCTATTTTGCAGAAGTCAGAATCAGGGACACTGAAGCAGTAGAACAGAGCTCACAGATAAGAAACACGCCTGGCAAATATGTGGCTCAGCCAGAGTTGTACTGAGGCAGACACTGATGAGCAATGATATGAATGATCATCAAATCACAACTGTAGGATAATTCACTCCAAGGAGCTACATTCACAATAATGCATTAAGCAAGCTTCTTGAAATTTACTAGGTCATATACGAGGTGCGATCGGAAAGTTTCCAGACTGCGCCTATAAAAACCTGTACACTTATCTCAGGTATTAAATTCATCCATCACCCTCGAAGTAGTTCCCCTGGGAGTGAACACAACGATCCCAGCGCCGCTGCCAAGCCTGGAAGCATCCCTGGAAATCTTTCTTTATCAGCCTGTCAAGCACCATCTGCGATTCTGCCTGAATCTCTTCTATCGTCTCAAATCTCCTTCCCTTGAATTTTCATCTTTCGGAAGAGGAAGAAGTCACACGGAGCTTAAAAAGGAAGTTGGGGTCGGTTCTTGCAAGATCTTTCAGCTCCTGACAAACGAGAAGTCAAGTCGATTCTGCTTCTGGTCCTCAGACAGGAGCCTTGCGTCGCATGTGGAGTTCTTCCTTTAGAATCAGCTGACAGGTCCCATAGCCTATCCCAACAATGTCGCACAAGTCGTTGATGGTACGACGTCGATCTTCGTAACAGTTTCGGGCGTTGTGCTCGAAGATGGTCGTCCAGAACGCTCATCATCATCGACAGAGGTTCGGCCATTTTTAAAACGTGAATGCCACACAAAAGTTTGTGCACGACCCATTGCGGACTCCCCAAATGCTTGCTTTAGCATTTCATAGGTTTCCGTAGCCGTTTAGGCGAGTCTTTGGCAAAATTTGATGCACACGCCATTCCGAAAGCGCAGGAGGGTCGGTGTAATGCACTACCAAAACGCCCGTAACTAAGAAACAAATGCTAATTCGATGATGCCGGCTGGCACACCGATTCAGATCGCACCTCGTAGCATGCTGGCTTTATTATGAGCTTTTCATGATATAATGTGAAAGTTATAAGGTGTTGACACATACTTCACTATAATTCTCCTTAACAAGTAGCACCAAACATTTCTTTAGTGACAGAAAGTCACTGCAGAATAACAAGTTGCAGTTTCATGATTAGAACATTTTCATACACCACCCTCCCCTTACGATATGTATTCATCAAGAACACAACAAGGTATTCCTGAGCACATTGTCTGATGATATTTTGTTTGCCATTTTCCACATTCCTGGAACTGCTTTCATTATACAGATTTTGACTTCATGAGTAGAACATTTTTTGCCCCTTAATTCAGTTCCTGGCAGGGGTAGAGATTTCTCCCCTTTTCCAATGTATAAACCCTAGCACATTCCTATCCAATAGGTAGCAAGAGTTTTTATTTCAGGAGTAAAGCAGCTGGAGTGTAAAAATTACATCTCCCTGGCATCCTGTGCTGTAGAGCTTTATAAGTGTACCCTCAGTATAAATTCTTGGCACAATACTTTGGCACAGGGGTGATTTTCTCTCTAGATTTTATAATATTTTTGTTACATTAAAATATTTTTAAGTTGTCAAAATAATGTTGTGAACTGTAATTATGTCTTGTTTTCAGGACATCTTTCTTCCTCATGTTGAGAGTGGAACTATCACATTGATCGGTGCCACTACAGAAAATCCTTCTTTCAGCCTCAATTCAGCACTTCTGAGCCGCTGTCGAGTAATTGTTCTAGAGAAACTCAACACAGAACATATTGTTGCTATTTTAGAGCGGGCCCTAAAAGTTATTGGTGCTAAAACTGTGAAAGCAGGAGAAAAGATTAATTTTACTAAACCTGGTGACAAAATACCAAGGTAATTAAGCGCATGGCATAAAATCATTGTTACGGTTTGTTTTTATACTCTGTCCCTTGTTTCTGTCACTTCCCAACTACCAGTCAGTGACAGCTTACAGATTTTTGGCAGGCCACACCAGTCTGAGTGTAGAATTGCTCCATAAGAACAATAATAGTGGCTCCCTTGCTCTCACCTGATCCTCACTATCTTCCCCACTTGTCTACTCTGTCTGACTGCTTTCCATATCTCAAACTAGTTCTGCGCAATGCATATTACTCACTGCCTCGTTAATGGAGACAGCAGATACCTCTGAAACATCTTACAATTGATGGCATCTTAAAATAGAGAAAATATGGTAATCTGACCGTGAAGTCTAGATACATGGCAGTAATTATCAAGGCTTCCTATTTGGTCCTTAGTGACAAGTCAATAACCATATTCCTGTATGCTATTCACAAAGGTAGTATATTACCTTGATTAAGAATATTTAGTTTTGAGCTCACCAAATATTCCATTAAGCTTTTTCCTCTTGAGTTGGCCCCAGTGATCTCTCATGTGATTTGGTGTGCATTGGCATTGCATCCAGTGATAAGCTGCTTTCTCCTGTGTGCAGTAATAATTATTGTTAACATCTGTCTTCCCCATGGTTGGCAGTGGTTTATCCAAATCATGGGGAAGGCGTGCTGAGGGAACAGTTAATTTCATATGACTCCCTCCACTTTGGTTTATTATCCTCACTACTGTTACATCCCTGGAACAAATGTTCAACAAAGGAAAGGTATTTGTTTGATTCCTGACATAAATGCACTGTCTTGGAATTGCATTGGTTACAACAACACATTGTTCCCTAGTGCAGTTTGATTTCTTATTTGGTCCCCAGGGTTCTTAAATAAGAACCATATCTCTTTCTCCTGAAGCACGTTTCTGCCACTGTCATAGCTGCAAAATGTAAAGTAGGGTTAATATTTTACTGATATGAACCAAACTTAGATTTGTTCAGTTTTGTGAACCCCAAATACCAAATTTAATTTAAATACATTCAGTAGTTTTATTGATGAAATACAGATGGGCAGTTGTAACCACTCTGTTATGTGTTAACTTTCTGCAGATTGTATGAAGAGCACCAAGTCATTATGATGTGGATAATAAACATGTTACTGATAATGGAAAAAGTGTAATCTGTTCTTCAAGAGAACATGAAACAAATTCTGCATGATAATTTGATTCCTTTTCATTAGCAGTAAATAATATTACACTATGCATGACTTATAGAATTACATGCAAATCCTGACACTCTGATACCAAGAGAAACAAGTAACTGATGTGATCTTAATGCAGGGTGCTAATAGATGAAGCAACAGTGACATGGCTGGCTGAGATGTGTGATGGTGATGCCCGTGTGGCTTTGAACAGCCTACAGCTGGCCCTTCAATCCCGAGACCAAGACTCAAACTCAGGAGTGATCCTCATTTCACTTGATGATATCAAAGATGGGGTGAAGGTAATGTAATATATGGGAAGTTGATTACTCTGAAGGTACATGGGTCCACTAATAGATGGCACATAAGCAAGCTCAAAATAATGTAAAATGTCCTATAGGATACATTATACTCTAGCTTTTAGGAATGCAATTATTGTTTACTGTATTTCAGAAAATAGTAGTCAGGAATATCCTTTTGCTTATTCATCAGGGTTGGAATATGTAGAGGTACAGGTTTTCTACAATTTTTCACTATTAGTGTTTCTCTAGAGGAAAGTGGATTTGAACAGAAACTGAAAACATTGAAGAAGAAATTTAACACTGAGATTCCTGTGTTGAAAGTTTTTAATGTCAAGTGACATTTGAAGATCTCATGGTGGTGAGGATATTGATGTTCGTCTTCTCAATTTTAAGATCATGTTGTCTTGTATGTAGATACCAATGCTTCAGCCCTGAAGATGGAGGCAGTATGTTCCTCCAAAATGCTCACATGGCATTACAACTCAGAAGATGAAAAGTAGCTTGTTAAATGAATGTTCCTTTGTGTCTAGGAAAAGCATATACGAGGTGCGATCGGAAAGTTTCAAGACTGTGTCAATAGAGGGCGAACCGGATGTAGTACGAGCTTCTGCCGCTAGGGGGTGCGGCCTACATTCATAGTGAATCAGTGTGCCAGCCGGCATCATCGAATTAGCATTTGTTTCTTAGTTACGGGCGTTTTGGTAGTGTATTACACCGACCCTCCTGCAATTTCGGAATGGCGGATTTTCATGAACAAAGAGTGTGCATCAAATTTTGCCAAAGACTCGCCAAAACGGCTACGGAAACCTATGAAATGCTAAAACAAGCATTTGGGGAGTCCGCAATGGGTCGCGCACAAACTTTTGTGTGGCATTCACGTTTTAAAAATGGCCGAACCTCTGTCGATGATGACGAGCGTTCTGGACGACCATCTTCGAGCACAACGCCCGAAAATGTTACGAAGATTCGGCAGGCCATTCACGAAGATCGACGTCGTACCATAAACGACTTGTGCGACATTGTTGGGATAGGCTATGGGACCTGTCAGCTGATTCTAAAGGAAGAACTCCACATGCGAAACCAAGGCTCCTGTCTGAGGACCAGAAGCAGAATCGACTTCTCGTTTCTCAGGAGCTCAAAGATCCTGCAAGAACCGACCCCAACTTCCTTCCTAAGCTCCGTGTGACTTCTTCCTCTTCCCAAAGATAAAAATTCAGCTAAAGGGAAGGAGATTTGAGACGATAGAAGAGATTCAGGCAGAATCGCAGATGATGCTTGACAGGCTGACAAAGAAAATCTCAGGAATACACTGAAACTTAAAAACAATCATTAATATGATTTTTCATTTATGTTCAGTAGTATGTTTCCAGCCCTGATCAAACTCCCATATTTGAATTCCTGCATTTCCCAGTGATGATGGCCATTTTCATACTGTTCCTATTCAAAAATAATGAAGCTTTGCTGTGCATGCTACTTTTAGCGCTCACACCTGCTGTATGACAGGAAGGGGGAAGAGCATTACAACATTATTTCAGCAATGCACAAATCAATACGCGCTTCAGATGATAACGCAGCCCTTTATTGGTTGACACGAATGCTACAGGGGGGAGAGGACCCACTCTATGTAGCACGGAGACTGGTCAGGGCTGCCAGTGAAGACATTGGTAAGTCTGTATGATGTAACAAGAATTTAGTTTTTAAGTTATATAATATTTTAGTTATAATTGACTAGATTACTAAAGCAGTCAGTAATTTTTAATATCTTGATTGCAAAATATACAGTCACTTACATGAATGAATACATAGGTTATGTAATATACAGGGTGAGTCAAAAGTGGGTTTACAAACTGTGTGCATGTTCCTGGATCAAAAATAAGAAGAAATGTTCATGTGAACATGTGGTCACAAATGCTTCGTTTTCAAAGTAATAGCCAAAAATAAGTTTCAATGTATGCCTTTATTGCCAAGTATAAGAGCAGGGAGGTTTTTTATAACAGATGCTCAAAGGTTGCTCCTCCTTTCTTCACACATGCCTGAGCACGATGTACTCAAGACTGACGGATTTGTTCTTACACACCAGGGTTTCCTCATATCATCTGGCATGCATTCTATACATGGTCCCATAGGCCATCTTCATTGTTTATGGGTGTTGCATAATGATGGACTTCAAGCGCCCCACAGATAAAAGTCAGGTCTGGTGACCTCAGTGGCCAAACTACTGGGCGACCACGCCTAGTCCATCACTGAGAGTACTGTTCATTGAGATGATCTCCGACGCGATGGGAGAAGCGTGCTGGGGCTCTGCCGTGCATAAACCACATTTGTCTTCTTGTATTCAGTGGTACATCTTCAAGGAGACGTGGCAAGCGTCTTTTTAAGAATCCCCGATATGAAGGTCCTCTTAGATGTGATGGAAGCATGTGTGGACCAATAAGCATGTCGCCAACAATTTCTTCTCAAACATTAATTGAAAATCTTTGCTGGAAGCTGGATTCACTTTGACATAAAGTCAATTCATTGAAACTTATTTTTAGCTATTATTTCAAAAATGAAACATTTGCGACCCCATGTTCATAGGCACATTTTTTCGTATTTTTGATCCTGGAACATGCACACAAAGTTTGTAAACATACTGCTGACTCATCCTGTATATCATACACTCAACACAAGATAGACCTAGGGAAGCTCGGTTAACTAAATCTGGTATTGTGGAACCCAGAGTGTCATTACTGTGTTCACAAGGTTCCATGGTGGAATCCTATCCTGAGTTAGATAAATCTAATTCACATCCTCACTCCGTTTCTGTAAAATCTACTTTAGTATTATCCTCTCATTTATGACTAGGCCTCAGAAATGATCTCTTCTGTTCATGTTTTTGGAACAACTTTTCCTCTTGCATTCTGCAATAATATCTATCTCATTCTCCTTGATTCAGTCACCCTAATATTATTTGGTGAGGAGTACAAATTATGAAACTTATTATGCAACTTTCTCCACTTTCCTATTACTTCCTCTCTCTTAGGTCCAAATATTCTCTTCAGCATCCTTTTCTGAAGCCCCCTCTACCTGTGTTCCTCCCTTACATATATATCCTTCTTGCTCCTAAGCGAAGTTAGGGCTTTTTTTTTCTTCAAGGTTTCAGTGATCAGTTAGACATTTGGTAGGACTCCTTGGACAAATGATCAGCCCATCACAAGGCCTCTACCTGTACACAGGACAGCACAACAGAAAAATGCCGACAAACATCCATGGCTTAAGCAGGATTCAAACTCACAGTCCCAGTGTCCAAGTGCACAAAGCCCACACCTCAAACCACGTGGCCACTGTGACTGGCAATTCTTCCTTTATGGTTAGATATAAAGTTTCACACCCACATGAGGAACAGGTAAAATTATGGTTTTGTATATTGTAATCTTAAGTGTTGGATATGAGATGGGCAGATAATAGATTTCTGAACTGAATGGTAGCAAAATTTCCACAAAATGTAGTTTGCTTTCCATTTCCCCATGTATTTTTCCTTAGTAATTACCATTTTGCCATATCTATGTTTTTATATACAGGGTGTCCCAGGAGGAAAGGTCAATATTCTGGGAGGTCATAGTATCGGTCATTCTAAGCAAAAAGTGTGTATGCACATGTCCTATTCTGAACGGTTTCCGAGATAGTGCATGGGGGAGGGCAGGATATGGGTTGGCAGGCTTGAAGGGAGGAGACTACTGGGAAGACCAAGGCAGAGATGGGAATATAATGTTAAGTTGGACCTTTGGGAGACAGGAATTGATGGAGTGAACTAGATGCGGCTAGTTCAGGATAGAGGCTGGTGGTAGGCTTTTGTGAACAAGGTGATGAACCTTCAGGTTCCATAAATAAAGTGGGCTATTATTCATTGATACACTGAGTATACAATCAACTTTTCAAAGAGTATCCTGAGTGAGTGAATGTCCACTAGAAATTCAGTCGTACACTAGTCACAACTAGGCTATTGCCCTTGTTCTTATTTAGAATACTAAAATGACACCGAATAGAATTCTGCAGTTTTCCACTAGGTTTTGAGAGTAAATTAATCCCTGGGTGTCCATGTTTTCTGCCAATTTTCTACGTACAATATAGTGATATTCTTTCAGGTCTGGCAGATCCCATGGCTCTCACAATAGCAGTGTCAGCAATGCAGGGTTGCCAGCTGATTGGAATGCCAGAGTGTGATGTTCTGTTAGCACAGTGTGCTGTATATCTAGCACGGTAAGCATGTCTTGTATTAGTGCTAGAAAAATTATGTTCTATGGCACTGGTATACATTATTATATATCAACATATTTTAATATAAGTATGAAATGAAACAAGTGTGGAAATGTGTACCAATTGGATTTGAGTGTAATTTGTGGAAGATTAAAATGTTAGATGTTACAACAGCTCTTAGGATATAATTTATGCCTCATATTTTGTTAATTATGCAGCATCGAAAAATGTTTCAAATAGTAATTGTAGAACTAAATCATATCTAAATTTTATACCATGTATCAATTTTTATGATGTGTTTGAGAACATTTTAAAGTTTGATATAAACTTCATGTGAAGATGATTTATATCAGATTTTCAGTGTAGTCCACCAATACTGAAATTCATTAAAATTTGTTCACTAGTTTAGAGGTAAACTATGTCTAAGGAAAATCTCTACATGATGAGTTAAAAGAACACAGAACTTAATAAGATAAATGTGTACCCAGAAAGTGAAGAGCACTTTCTAGAGCAAGATCATGCAGACAGTTCCTCTCTTGTTCATTTTGAGAGACATTTTGCAATGCCATTTACTTGTCACCTTCAGTGGTGAGGATGCAAATGGTTTTTCACTTTGCTACCCAGTCATCATTTTGGATATTTAGGTGCTTGTTTTGGTTGTATGGAAGTGAGTGACTGTGGCAAGACATCAGACTTATCAGAGAAAGCAGAAATTGCATTATGAACAGCTGATTATAAACTTACTGATTCTTTGACCTATTGAGTTTGGAGTAGGTGAAGAGTTGAAAAAAACACACTGCAGAAGAGAACACCTTCTTTGGCATTTGACCACTTTATCACTTTTCACATTATGGTGTAATAAGAAAAATACTGGCCAGCAGAATCTGTGCTGAGTGTATAGGTTTTGTAATCAGTGACACATTTTGTTTTCACCTTTGATGTGCCTGCCCTTAACTTCAGGGCATCTACAGTTTCTCCTGGTGGTGGGGATATATATATACTTTCCAGTTGTTTGTTCCAGAAGCCAAGGGCAAGTACATCTTTTTCTGTTGAAATGTAGTTTCATGTGGTTTTAACTTTCTAGATTCTTTGCAGGATAGGAAGGAACAGTGAAATGAACTCTTTCAGAAAATCCTGGCTGACACAAGTTGTCCACAAATAATTATTTTGAAGGACTTGTGTCAGGAACAGGATTTATATCAGAATCACTGTCATTCACAGTTACTGTAATTTTGTCTACTGTTAGGGCTTATAACATTTTTGCTTCGATGCTTGTTCTTTGATGGAATTCAACCACATAAAGGAAATACTGAATGCCTGATATCAGCTATAATCACTGGGCTGAATAGTTGTCACACACACACAAAATAGAATCATGCAGTAAATGAGATAGAAAGAGAAAAAATAAAAAGAATTATGTAATGAGTAAACATCCAAATAACCTTTAAACAATATCTATTCATAACTGACAGAATATTTTAACGAGGAGAATGTATTAAATCATAGTGTTTCAAAGTTGGCAGTCATAAATTTCCTCTGATAAATGGAAATCTGTGATTCTGGCAGTAATATGTTAAACTGACATTAAATTTGTTCACTTTGAGGTAATAAATAGAAAAGCTAAACTGAATAATTATGACTGATAAACTCTTCGGCATCTATTCACTGTTGGTGATTCAGATGGCAAGAAATCTTAACTGAATACTAAAGCTTCGTTGTCTATTATTAAACACACTAAAAGAAAATTATAACTTCTTTAATATAGGCTCTAAAATATTGTACCTAGTTAATACAATAAAGTCTGATTTCAGAGCAGTCTAAACTTAATGTTTTGTTCCCCTTCCCACTTATGATCTGCTGAAACAACAGAAATGTTTGTTTTATGTTGATCTATTACATCAAGAACATCTTACATTATGTAAAATTGTTAAAATTGTCCAGTATAAACTGAAATAGTAACAGTTGCAGATATGCTTAAGAAAGGGCACTGATTTGTTTCTGTGCAGTGCTCCAAAGTCTCGGGAGGTGGACAGTGCATTAGCTCTAGCCAAGAAGTGTATTGCAGAACATAAAGGACCACTTCCTGGTGTTCCATTACATCTGCGGAATGCCCCTACAAGTCTCATGAAAGATCTTGGTAAGTTTATCAGTTGGTTTACTCCACTTACCTTGCCTGGGTTTGTATTTACATGATGTTTCTTTGCATGTTCCAGGATACGGGAAAGGGTACAACATGGCACACAAAGATGTAACGCATCTCACCTACATGCCAAAAGGTCTAGAAAATATGGACTTCTTTGGTTCATCATCAAATTAACTGCAAGGAAAGGACATTAATATCAGGAGACATGAGTTTGTTAGTAGTTTCAAGAGAAAGTTATCACATGTAAAGCCAAACTTATAGAATTGAAATATAATTTTTTGCCCACATCCAAATACAGTATTTGGAAGGGTACAGAACACTGAGAATATGCCCATATTTATAAAAAAAAATTAGAACTGAATCATGTGAACTGTAGAAACAACCAGCTGTGCAACTATTCTCTTTCTCCCTGCTCAAACGATTTTATCGGTTTCAGCCATCAAAGAACTCACTTTCAGAAAATAAATAGGGGTTATGTATAGAATGTTTGTAAGAGGGCATTAAAACAGGAATATTTCACAAAGTACATAAAATGAGTATATAATGGAAGGGCATGACCATTTCTGTCCTGTTTCACCTCCAAAACTAGTCAACAGATTTCAAAGTAATTTGGTGAAGTCCACACAATCACCAAATTTTATTTTGGCCCACATCAGTCCGGCACAACTCTACTTTAAATGAAGCTCAAAGCAAACTTTCTAAGGTTTATGTCTTTTGAAAACAATTTTAATATTGTGTACATTAATAAAATACAGGAGAGAATAAATTCTCACTTTGTACCTGTATACCTGAAATAAATAAAGTCCAGTGAGTTATGCAAATTTTTGGTTGTATGTATGTGGAAAATGTATACTCTGAAATGGTGTACATCTTTTCACTTTTATTATGTACCAAAATGAACATGAATTTCAGTTGCTGAAGAAATGGAAACTGGTTGGGGAAGAGGTGGAAACATATGGTTCACTTAATGGGCAATGTTCCGGTGCTTACAAAAGTGTTTCCTTAGTGAACACAGAAATTTAAGAGGTTTCTTAAATATGGCAATCTAATTTTGACTTTTAAATCATTTATTTTTCTAATGTACAGAATATCCATTCTGACATAAGGTAAAATGTGCTGTGGTGGTCCAATTGAATTGGCAAGTGTTATGCTTTAAGCCGCAGCAGTTCCCAATCCCTCCCTATATTAAATTACATATATATATATATAGCAGTAATTCCATGCTTTGGTCAACTTTCAACACAACTGGAAAGGCAGGCTTTGGTTGCATCCATTACACAAAAATGTGCCCAAAATGGATGGCCAGGAATGCTCCATGCTCTAAACCACACCAGGGAATTTTAAAAGATATTGCAACTGAGACAAAACCAATAACAAAAAATTCAAACACTGACAACTTGCTATAATGACAATTTTCAGAAGTCAATTAAATATATGTATATATAAAAACAACCAGAGTAGTTCAGTATCAGATGCAAAGGTTGACAAAAATTAAAATTGATGTCCAGTACTTGGCCTAGTACAGCAGAAGTGCATTCTGTTACTTAAAAATAAGGCCGTGAATTTATCTCATGATAAAACACTCCACAGAATTACATTCACACACTGCTAAGACAAAAAGCATCTATTACTTCCACGTCTCTCACCTCAGGGCCAACGTTTATGTGGTATGGAAATTTACCACCTAATAAAATTAAAATCACTATATATAAAGTCATCACTAATAACTTATACACAAACAATACTTGGGCTTCATATCAAATCCAGTAAAAATTATCCTCAAAAGATACTTAACTTACTGTCAACCATAAAAACCAGAAATTTAGTTCTGAATGTTTCTTTTTATGAATTGGCAGCTTACAAAGTCGCAACTGATCCACACAAGGCAACTCTCCACATCACCAAGTCACCCCCTTCCACAAAGATCTGGTAGGTCTGCAAAACCAATGCGCCTTTTCAATAAATTATACAACTGTAACACACATGTCAGTGAACACAATCCCTCCAAGATATGACTCTTCCAGCTAGCAAGTAGCAAGATGGTCGTTAAAACACATAATCGGGACCAGCCATGTCAATGGCCCAACGGAACTTGTCTCGTTGAGTTTTGTTGTAGATCTTCTCAATGGGAACATTGTGCTTCTTGCACCTGGAACCCAAACATAAGAAACACTGTAATGTCCTGATTCATGCAGCATAAAATCACATGTAATCAATGTTCAACATTTACCATAAAGTGGCATGATATGCTGAAAAAGCATTGCACAAAAAGGCCCGCTGTTTCTATGAGGATAACTCCACCACTCCTGATTGGATGATGATGACGATGGCCAGTAGAGGAAACGTGGGCTCCCTACCACAGTGGGACCTGGTATCATCACTGTTACAAATGTTTAACTTTGTCACAGGCAGGGGGAAGGGGAAAGTCAGAAAAACTTTTACTAAATGTGGCCTTGCATTCCTGAATCAGGAATACAAGGCACGGGCAAGCACGTAAGTCACGGCCTGCTTCTACAGCCACACCAGTGCCCTGAGGATGAGAACAGCATAGTTCTCGAAACACTGGCAGTTTCTTCACCAGCTCAACTGACACGGCTGACAACCCGCAAGAAATCATATTAAAATCACCATGAAAACTTTAAATTTTGTATCACACAACTTACCATGCCACAGATATCCGTGGGTCTAAATAATTCAATTTGGAGGTACTAAGGGCAATTTCCTTGTTTTCCTCCTTATCTGTTGCTTGAAGTTCCAACTTGGCCAGCTGCTCCCTTAATTTTTCTAGAGCCTTCTTCCGTTTCTCCATGTCGCTGGAGCAAAATGCAACAAAATTACCAAGGTTTAAAAGAAAAAACTTCCAACACGACTCATATGAATAAGAAATGGACTAGAAACTTATAAACAAAGCTTAACATTAAAACCTATACATGCACAAATGTGGTAATTATGGAATGAATATTGACACTATCACAGTAATACACAATTGACAATTCTGTCCAGTCAAACCCAATCTGACAGTTCTGAATCTGAGTCAGAAATCCATAGCCCTCAATGGATTATTGACAAAGCCAGGAATCTTTACCAGGTAATTACTGTTGATTACAATCAACAGTGAAAGCAATCAGCATTTAGAGAATTTATTAACACTAACATATTATTGAAATTCAACTGTAACTAATATATTCATGAAGTAAATGATTCTTCTCAAAAGAGAGAGAGAGAGACAAATTGTAAGAAATTATAAACTTACATTTTATTCTTTGCAGAACCATTTCGTTTGTGCTCATGCTTGACATCCTTGTACTGTCTTTCTGCATCTTGTACCATTTCTTTCTTCGCATCGATCTTCCCCTTCAGATTCTCCATGGACTTTGCATGTGTTTTGGGAACGGCACGTTGATGGTTACACAAGATTGCCACAGCGCGATTTGCACGGTTATATGCTAAGATCTGAATAGGAAATGGAATATACATTAACACAGTAATATTCTTGTGTGCCAGTCCCTGTGTACTGTAGCCAAAGCCAGCTAAAAAGCCACTTCCTTATTAGCAATACTGACTGCGCTGTGTACATATAACCATACACAATTTTTATTGATGTATGAATTATATTACTTTTCACACTTACTTAAATATAAAAGTATCAGCATGTCTCATTGCCAAAAACTACAGCACACTGTTACAACATAGGTAAAATCACAATTACAGATACCTTCTCCTGAACAGTGTAGTCAGGATCGGTCAGTTTATCGAGTTGTTCTTGAAGAGTGAAAGAGGCATTGTATGTTCGGAAAACCTTTGCAGTTAAACCTTCCATCAATTCATTCAAGTGTTTGTTTAGGACAGTAGTCTGAAATTAAAAAATACACATACATTGTTTAACATCACAGTACAGTGCAATTTACTGTACTTCAGATTCCAGAAAAGATAATATTGAAAGTTAGGAGCATTTCTGGTTCCCATCGATCCCTAATGCATAAATAAACATCTTTCTCCACACACTGCAACAAAACAAATGTAAAAAACCTAAGTCCAGTCCAGGAACCAATGAACACAAAAAGTGTACAGAAGAACAATCAAAAGTACAATGATGCCCAATGATGACTCAATAACATCAGCTGACTAGAATTACATATAATCTCTCCTTAAAATTCGTGGAAAGCCAATGTAAACAGTAAGAGAATATAGGATTTGAGGGTCTCGAGGTGGAGAACTCTCTTCTGGGTTTTAATCATCACCCTGATGATGAGGCCCCAAAGACCTCTGAAATGTTGGTAAACTTCTACCAGACTACGTGGCACAACCCAGACGTAACAGTAAAACGTATTTATATCATGGTGTAAGGCAAAGTACAGAAAACCGTCAGAATCCAATCAACTGACAATGTAGTTTGCTTTGCATGTCATTCCCTGTATTTATACAAGGTTAAGTTGATGTTATCTGCAAAATCCTTCCAGCACACATTTGTTTGTGTTCACATAAAACTCATGGTCTTAGACTCAGATATCTCTTCTTCTCCTTGAACAGTTACTGCGAACATCAATATGAAGTTGTGATGACTTTAGGTGTTTACAGGCACATTCAAATTTTACTGACTATGGGACAGTCTATAGCAGCTGATACTGTAGAGAAATTCTGTCCACTGCTCTACACAAATTTCTGATATGCTTTCAAGCTCCATTTACATACTTATTTCACTTAATTCATGAGTTCAAGACCTTGTCATCCCTGGACAGTATTTTAATGAGCAAGCAGTAACATCAAGGAATTAACATAATAAATACAACTCACGTACTTACTGAATAGTTACATCATTCTATAACCCTGCAGTAGCAGAACAGATCACAAAAAATTTCATCAGACCTTGGTCCAAAATTTGTTGGAAATGAGTACAAGGCTTACTCATTCTACAAGAGAAAGACCAAACCCAAAAGATAGTGAAATGATTAAACCTTGAAGCTCAACACACTCACCACTGGCAAGCAGCAGGATCAGTTTGTGGTGTTGTGTGCACTCAGCCAAGACAAAAAGAACAACTGCCAAACTTCAGTCAAGCAAAGATGATAAAGGTTAAATGACAAGCTCAACTATATAAGATGTTTTCATAAAACTCTATTGTAGTGGGTTTCCAGGACTTTCCTTTGCAATTTTTTATAGTGCAGTCAGAGTGCAAAGCTGAACAAGTATTTTTACTGAAGTCCCTTTGCATTCACAGCTCAGTATCAGGACTTTGTGACTGTGAACTTTGAACTTGAAGTCTAATTATATCATTACATAGATTAATTTCATTTAATGGGCTGTCATCCCATACTGGCTAAGACATTTCATATAAAGCACAATCTTAAGAAATACTGCAAGATTCCACAGTAAACATATTAACTTCTAAAATATTAAAAGTACCCAAAATACCAATACATCCACATTACTCCCTAAATTGCTGGTTGAAGCACCACACTTACATTGAGTCTGTCAAAAAGATCATCCCCAGTTGATTTGTTCTGCATGAAAAGTTGTAAATTCTTGAACACACGCTTCTCCACAGACACTTCATTGTAATAACGAATTGAGTCTTTACCCGGGAAATCAAAGACTACAACATAATCTTTTCCATCCTTCTGACTGTGCAGAGAGATATGCTCAACACGGAGTGAACAACAGCCCACTGTGTCTGCTTGATCCTCGTCCTTTTCATTACCAGCTCGAAGAGCTAACTGTACGAAGAAAATCATTATTAGCAAACACAGCCACGACATATGCAACAAATACTGTCCAACTGGGAACAGGACAATCTAACAGAGTGAAATATATTTGAACACTAAACTGCAGACAGTCTTAAGTGGATAGTATTTAATGCTGAGATAATTGGGCATGAATCAGGAATGCACATCAACCGAAGCAAAGGCTTAAATTGAGGTCTAAGGTCTTTGACAGTATATTCCACACATATTTCCATTACCTCACTTATGACACATTCTGCAAACAATCTAAAAAAGTCATTTTCAGAATGTTTTGCCAAAACTACTGATCTGCTAGATACCAAATGGAAAGGAAGGGGAAAAACTGTTAGTAAATACAAGACTGACAGTTATGAAATATAATGGGGAACATATGGAAATGGAGAATCCTGCAAACAATGGAACAGTTCTCAAGTTCAGAATGTCTCTATGATCTAATGTATAGTAACCTATATACCAGGCAACATTCTGTAATGTTTTGGAGTTTTGATGTGACAGATTATAAAAATTAAATTAAATCTCTGGTGACTGCTCAATTCGAATCCTTTAAACAGAAATTTATATGAATTGAATTTTGAAGAGCACAAAATCAAACACAGGATTGTTACAGAACACTTGAAATGAAAACATTATAACAATTCTGTTATAGCATTTAAAACCTCTGGCCACAATTATCCAAGCCCTAATACAAGTGGAGAATCTTTTTCCAAAGTTGAAAATTTGTGCTTTGGAAAACAAGATTTCAGTTGAGGTCACTTGGGAGGGACAGGAATGTACTGTATGTACATACATCAGAAAAGAAACAGATTCTCTTAAAAAAATGAATATGACTAATCTATGTCCACTGCCCACCACATAGAATATCCAAAGCCAAGTTTATATAAAAATATTAAAAGATGCCATTCACCTTATCAATGAAATAAAGTGCAACAGCACGCTGCCTGATGCGCATCTCCTTTGATTTAAAGTCATCCTGATACTCTTGTCGGATTTTTTCAATGCACTTTGCAAGTTTACGAGCAGTCTCATATTTCTGCCAATCCTTCTCACCCTTTAGTTTTGATGATGGGTTCAACATAACATATTTTACCTGACCTTGGACATTTTCTGTCCAACTTGCAAGCCACGTTACCTGCACAAAAAGGTATATTAAGCAATAACTGAAGACTGTAGAAAGAAAACAGTTCTACATGATCACATTTTATTTCACTATATTGTTAAATGAAAAAACAATATTGAGATACCTTCATTCCAACCTCAAAAATGTCTGCTGCATGACAACAGTTGCTCTGCTACAGAAACTAAAATATAATTAATTCTATCCCACAAGGCTAAACCATTTCAAAAAACCACTGGGTTCTGAACCCAAAACTTCACCTTAACTAATTTCATGCTACAGAGAATTCCTTGAACAAAGTTACTCAACTGGTCAAAAAATTCCCTTCCTTCACAAACCATAAAACATTAATTACTCTACTGCCACTGCTCGCTATCTTGAACCAATTTGTAACATAGGCCTCTAAGATCAATCTTATATCTTATACCCAAGTATTCCCTTGAGATCTCATATAACAATTTATAACACACTTCTTACTTCTCCAGATATGCTACATGTTTTGCTCACTCACAATTATTATGTGAAGACTGAAGTTTTACACCATGTAATGTACATACTATTACTGTTATTTCAACTTTCTTAAGTCCAAATATTCTTCCAACACCCTATTCTCAAACACGATATGTTTTAGTCTGGGTGAAAGACCAAGTGTCACACCCACAACAAATTATGTAAAACTATTACACAGATTAAAGTGGCCCATATGAACTTCAACTTTCTACAACTCTTCCACTAGAAGATATACTTAATATGGGTAGAAAATTTATAACATGAAAACATTTTTTTACTCTTTAAAGCCAAATGGTATTTATACAACCCACCTACTTCGGCAATCAATACCCCTTTCATTTTGTATTTATGTGTTTTGTATGGTTCTCACTATAAACAGCAATAATTTCTTTAAGCAGCACTAACCACTTGATTTTCTAATGATGAAGTGTTGTTTTGTGTTATGAACTGAATTCAGCTTCAAAGTTTTGAAGCATCTTCCTGAAAAGCTCACTAAAATCTTTAAGTATCAAGTCCATTCATTATAATCTGGTCTCTGATCATCTGTGACATTTAAATTATAGGAAGCTGATGCACATAAATATTCAATACTGCATCCACAGCTGCAAGACAGCATCTTGAATCAGCAGTGATGATTCAAATGTAATTCTTGAACTTAAAAATATACCTACAATAGTTATATGACTTGACAAATATGTGCATATCTTAACACTCTTGGCCACAAACATTAAAAAGTACACACTGCACACTTACATTCTTGTCATGTCGTATTTCTCTCCATTTATGACCATCAGGTGGTTTTGGAATCTTCGAGTCTTTACTGCAGTTAATAATGACATCTTCTGGAATCACACGTTTTTTGAGCATTCCCATTTTGGGATGTTCCCCTCGTCCTCTAAATAATCCCGGCGGTTCAATTTTAAAGTTGCCTATACGTTCTGTATGACCATCAATAACACAGAATCCATATTCCTTTACTATTTCTTCATTCTGGTCCTTGAGTTTCTACAATCACAAAAAACACAATTACCCAACAAGACAATTTAAAATTAACAAAAACTTGACTCCGCTTCTACCTTATATCAACGACTCACTACACTCCACAAAACATCTTCCTTGCAAAATTGACCGGTAATGAGCACGCCAAACAATTCCGTTTTGTAACCTGAAGATAAATCCAGCCCACACCTTCGCAATCTGTTTGTTAGATCCATTTTCACATTAGCCTATCATCTATGCCTATATGTCCTTCAGGATTATCAACTAGTATTTATGTATTTGTTTCACCATCTGTGCTAGATGCCTTGCCCAACCTAATATCCCAAATATAACTGTCCCAGCAGGAACTATGTAGAAAACAAAAAAACAACTTCTCAACAATTAATTTTCTCCATTCTATGTTACTTCATCTCTCTTACGTTTAAATATTCCCCCACAAATTTTTCCCAGACAACCTAATTGTATATTTTAGGCGTCAGACCACACTGTGCATCAATTTGAAAATAAACAACAATAATAATCCATCAACACAACTGCTAACAAGTTTCTAACAGAAGGAATAAAGACTCTCAAATGTGGCCTTGAAAAGTCATCATCAGATGGTTGCAAAATACTGGAATTTTATCTGTTACATTAGATATGCCATAATCCAACTTTAACACATTTTAATTATAACATGAATGTTAAGAATTAAAATATGTTGGGTTAAAATTATACATAATTTAATCTTTATAACATTCACCTCACATTAACCGATCACACAATTTGTGTTGCATGGCAACATTATAATTTCATAGTCGTCAGGAGGAGTGATGGTCAACAACCACATTTAAGTAAAGCCCCATTTCATTGTAACATAAATAATCACTGTAGTGACTGCAATCAACACTGGAATGATGAATCTTAACTTTATACTCCAAAAACACTAAAGAAAATACAGTACAATGGTAGCATATCTAAAAGTTACCTTCTTTTCCTCTTTACTCATTGCTTTGCGCTCTTCTGCCTTGGCCAAGAAGTACTTATGCATTTGTTTGAAATTGCATTTTGAAAGATCAGTTATTCTTTCTTTCTCCTTATCTGTCATAACTTTCCGCCAATCCTTAAAAAAATTCTTATTGAATGCTTCTTTAGTGGTATAGTCATGGTCCAGCATACGGGCATAGAAGCTTGCAACCTCTTCTGTAGGTTCAGACAATGTCATCTCCTTTCCTAAAAAATGAAGAAATATAAATAATGTCAACTACATAAGTTTTTAAACATATCTTCCCATCTGAAATAATTAACAAAAGGAAAATGGAAGGAGGCTAAATGAGGGCTCAAACACACCAGATGTTCTGGAACCTTCAAGTGTTGCAGCCTGCACACACACAAAATTGCAATTAATAAAAATATATAAATATGACTGTACAGGAAGCCCTCAATTTGCGCCAATTCAGAATAACGCCGATTTTCAAACCAGCGAGACAAAAAGTGATAACAAATATTTTACTATTATTTATAACGTTTTACAATGTATCTCGCACTGATTCTTATACTAAATCGTAATTCTTACATCGCTGATTTTGAATAAAAATTATAAATAGTCATCTCTGCAATTACTTACGTTTCATTAACGCGAATTTGCTCCAATGAGATCGATGAATCGGTAAAAGCTGTTTGTGAAATGCAAACTTTTGCATATGCAAGTTTGCTCTTATGCAATTTCATTCCTGGCGCTTGAGACTTTCAAAGGACTAATTTAATCTCTGCGGAGGTACTGGGGTTATTTTTACTATGCGATTTTCTATAGGTCGGCGTCTTACACGGATGCAACTATCGCATAACAGCAGAGATGACTGTACACATCAATCACATGAAAGAATCGCAGTCAATTGCGGGGACCAATGAATTGCCGATTGTAAGTGTATAAAATACAGTGAAACCTCTATCTATCGTTCCCGGAACTATCGTTTTCCCGGATGCATCGTCCGTTTTGTTCGGTCCCGAATACATCCCATATAAAATAATGTTACATTTTCCCGCTTCTATCGTTCCTCGAACTATCGTTTTATCGCATCGATCGTTCAAAAATCTTAGTCCCGGCCCACAATTTTCCCGCAATGATCGTTCCTGAGAATTTAAAATGCTGGGTTTAGAGATAAATTAATACCGAAAGACGCACAATGTTTTTGGAATAAACAGTAGCGGTAACCTGTTATGTCGCCCAACCAGCACATTCTTTTGGAATGAGGGTCAGCGGTGCAGGGGTGATAGTTGGAGTGAATGGCGGTGC